GTAGTTTATTTAACACAAGGGGCACACGCACTAAGGAACATAGGTGGAAACTGATTACCGAAATCAGCCACAGAGACACCCAAAAAAAAAAATTCAGTGTCAGAGTAGTTAACAGGTGGAATGCATTAGGCAGTAATGTGGTGGAGGCTGACTCCATACACAGTTTCAAATGTACATATGATAAGAGCCCATTAGGCTCAGGAATCTGTACACCAGTTGACTGATAGTTGAGAGGCGATGTGTATCAGTGCTATACAGAAGAAGCACTGTAGAAGCTCTGTTCTGTAGAAGAAGGTGGAAGATGTACTGGCTGTGCATGTAATATATTTAAAAAATTTTATCGCGTACACACAAGACTGAAGCATGTCAGTGACTGGGATAGTAGGACACTAACCCAACTTGTGTAAGCATATACCTCGTCTATGGTTACAAGTTATACTATGACTCGCAGAGTGCACTCCTGGCAGTGAACGCACATAGTAGTAACACCCAGGAAATAATAAGTGATATTCGAATTAATATTTTTAGCGACTAAAGAAAATGTTGAGATTAAATTCCTTCGGATAACATCACATGTTGGCATCTCGAAGCATGATACTGTTGACATGCTTGCAAAGACCAGAGGTAGATATTAACATAGGTGTTCATTGACAATGTCAAATACTTAAATGAATATCTGATAAAAACCTTTCTGACCTAACAGACTCAAAAAGACCTGAAAGCTACAGTATTAAACATTATAATAAATACGATTAGAAGATATTCATATATGGGACTACTAGAGCAAGAAAGACCTGGGGCCAGATTCACGAAAGAACTTACGCAAACACTTACGAACGTGTACATCTTTCCTCAATCTTTGACGGCTTTGGTTACATTTATTAAACAGTTTACAAGCACGAAAACTTGCCAATCAACTGTTGTTATTGTTATAAACAGCCTCCTGGTGCTTCGGATCTCATTAACTCTTTAATAATTGTAAACAAACCGCCAAAGATTGAGAAAAGATGTAAAGGTTTGTAAGTGCTTGCGTAAGTGCTTTCGTGAATCTGACCCCTGGTCCTTGTGAGGGTTATAGTGGACACAACACACCTGGCATATATTAACACTTTTGTGTTAATATAATACATCATTTTGTATTACTGTATATTAACACACATCATTTTGAATACATCCTTTTGCACAAGAGGTGTAATGCAAGTAGGTGTTATTAGAGTGAGGCGCTGCCCGTGTCACAGCCCGGGTAGAGGGTAGAGGGGTAGAGGGTAGAGGATCACACACAAGACAATAGGTCTAAATTGTAGATTGAATCACATTAAAATTCCATGAAGGTATAATTTCCTACATCAGACATTATACATGTTTCAAATTACGAATTTGTGAGTAACTATTTTTCAGTGCCACACAAGGCAGGATCCACGAGAGATGCAGCTAACAAAAATTCTTCATTCTTTAATATGGCCACGTGAGGCCATGAGGGGCCATGTGGGGCCATGAGGGGCCATGTGGGCCCATAAGGGCCACGTGGGTCCATGAGGGGCCATGAGGGGCCATGTGGGCCCATGAGGGGCCATGTGGGCCCATGAGGGCCACGTGGGCCCATGAGGGGCCATGTGGGGCCACGTGGGGCCATGTGGGGCCATGTGAGCCATGAGGGCCATGACCAGCACTGTTTTCGGCGCTCTACTCGCCCAAGCACTTGGGCTGGACGGTAGAGCGACGGTCTCGCTTCATGCAGGTCGGCGTTCAATCCCCGACCGTCCAAGTGGTTGGGGCACCATCCCCCCCCCCCCCCCCGTCCCATCCCAAATCATAATCCTGATCCCTTCCAAGTGCTATATAGTCGTAATGGCTTGGCGTTTTCCCTGATAGTTCCCTCCCTCCCTGTTCATTCCTTAAGTTCTTCTAAATTTGAAGTAATCTTTAATGTCTACGTGGGTACCCGAGAGTCAGACGTGTCCGCCAGTTTTCTCTTGTTTTGATCAGTAAACTGGACCAAACAAGGTGATGTAGTCATTATCTTAATTGGCCTTGGCTATAGGCACATCTGACAGGACTGTCAACCACTACCACAATATTCTGCTTGTAAACTGCTTGTCACAAACTATTACATTATTCACTTGAACACTACACTATTGAATTTGAAACTGTGAAATATTTTAGGCCTGCTTGTTGTACAACCATATAACTATTTCACTGACTCTGGAACTGTATATTGGGAGACGACTTAACTATTTAACCTAAATTTGATTATCCAAAATTATCAAACAAAAATTTGGCTGCATCTCTCATGAATCCCTGCCTTGTGTGGCAGTGAAAAATAGGAAGTTACGTACAAATTCGTAACTTGAAACATGTATAATGTCTGATGTAGGTAATTATACCTTCATGAAATGTTGATGTGATTCAATGTACAATTTAGACCTATTGTCTTGTGTGTGATCCTCTACTGTGTGTGGGGCTGTGACACGAGCAGCACCTCACTCTAATAACACCTAATGGAATTACTCCTCTTTGGCAAATTTATATATTAAATATTGCCAATAAAGGTGTTAATATATACCAGGCGAATTGTGGCCACCACCGTATAACAGTGACCAATTCTTGCTCTATTAGTTCCATATATAAGTGTCTCCTCACCGTGTATTAATCCTCAATGATTACATCATAATGTAATCATTAATAATCATTATTATAATCATTATTTCATCATAATCATTAAAACTGTATATTAATGCTACAGTTTTACGTCTTTGAACATCCCACCTGCGTCTGGGTACAAGTGACAGGATGAACAACCCACCTGCGTCTGGGTACAAGTGACAGGATGAACAACCCACCTGCGTCTGGGTACAAGTGACAGGATGAACATCCAACCTGCGTCTGGGTACAAGTGACAGGATGAACAACCCACCTGCGTCAGGGTACAAGTGACAGGATGAACAACCCACCTGCGTCAGGGTACAAGTGACAGGATGAACAACCCACCTGCGTCAGGGTACAAGTGACAGGATGAACATCCCACCTGCGTCTGGGTACAAGTGACAGGATGAACATCCCACCTGCGTCAGGGTACAAGTGACAGGATGAACATCCCACCTGCGTCAGGGTACAAGTGACAGGATGAACATCCCACCTGCGTCTGGGTACAAGTGACAGGATGAACAACCCACCTGCGTCAGGGTACAAGTGACAGGATGAACAACCCACCTGCGTCTGGGTACAAGTGACAGGATGAACATGCCACCTGCGTCAGGGTACAAGTGACAGGATGAACAAGCCACCTGCGTCTGGGTACAAGTGACAGGATGAACAAGCCACCTGCGTGTGGGTACAAGTGACAGGATGAACAAATGAACAAGCCAGGCTATGGGCGGTTGTCAGCGACTTAAGGTCTTGTAGCTTGTGTGGCTTCCACCCAGGTGAGCTGCCACCCCCCCCCCCCCCCCCCCTCCCCACACAACTGAGAGGTATGAGCTACGAGGAAAGGTTACGGGCTATATTATATATACATGTATTTCTATATATTATATATTTATATAATATATATAATATATTATATATATATATATATATATATATATATATATATATATATATATATATATATAAGATATATATATATATCTTCTCTGAATGCTCTTTGTTTTCCTCTTCGAGGATGTGGGTCCCTGCAATTGCACCTGATGGTGGTACCCCCAATATATATATTATATATATATATATATATATATATATATATATATATATATATATATATATATATATATATATATATTATATATATATATATATATATATATATTATATGTATATTATATATATATATATATTATATATATATATATATTATATGTATATTATATATATATATTATATATATATATTATATATATATGATATTATATATAATTTTATATATATATATATGTTGTTGAATATGACCGAAAGGGTAAGATTAATGATTCTAACACGAATCTTCTCAATATTTCTAATGTTTTCTTCACTGTCGAGGGTAGTTGAAAAATTAACTCTCCAAAGTTCATTTTCACACTTTATGGTCTGACGCCTAGAAACGTTTCACAAGACACTTCTTACATTTTCAAAAACAATTTTACATACTTTGTTTCATGTTTATATTCGTTTTTGGGTGAGGTGATAGGACACAAATGTTTATGGGGTGAGGTGACCAAACACGAATCAATGGGTACATTGCGTGTTTTCTCTTCTGATAGAAACAGGAAGAGAAAACATGCAATGTACCCATTGATTCGTGTTTTGTCATCTCACCCGAAAAAATTAACAGAGTATGTAAAATTATCTTTACCCATTGACTTGTGTCCTCTCACCAAAAACGAATATAAGCATGAAACAAAGTATGTAAAATTGTCTTTGAAAATGTAAGAAGTGTATAGGTTAGGTTAGCGAGCATAACCAAGCAAATATTGGGTCAGCCAGAAAAATGATAGGATGGATTACGAGAACTTTCACATCCAGGGATCCCATCACAATGGTCGTACTCTTCAAGTCACTTGTGTTGTCCCGTCTTGAGTACTGCTCAGTTCTCACTTCTCCCCTTCAGAGCAGGAGAGATTGCTCAAATAGAGGGAATACAGAGAACATATACGGCACGCATAGACGCGATAAAGTACCTAAATTATTGGGATCGTCTCAAAGCTCTCCAAATGTACTCACTAGAAAGAAGATGAGAGAGATATCAAATAATATACACTTGGAAGATACTGGAGGGCCAAGTCCCAAATCTACACAGTAAAATAACAACATACTGGAGTGAACAATATGGAAGAAAATGCAGAATAGAACCAATGAAGAGCAGAGGTGCCATAGGCACAATCAGAGAACACTGTATAAACATCAGAGGTCCGCGGTTGTTCAACACCCTCCCAGCGAGCATCAGAAATATTGCCGGAACAAACGTGGACATCAAGATAAAACTAGATTGTTTAAAAAAAAAAAAAAAAGTGCCGGACCAACCGGGCTGTGATGGGTATGTGGGCCTGCGGGCCGCTCCAAGCAACAGCCTGGTGGACCAAACTCTCAAGCCTGGCCTCGGGCCGGGCTTGGGGAGTAGAAGAACTCCCAGAACCCCATCAACCAGGTGTCAGTCAAATTTAGGAATACAAGCCAGTCAAATTTAAGCATTTGCTATGACGGTTAAATATTGATACAGATCCTATACATTTAGCCTCAATTCTGTTTAATTACTGAAAGCAAAAAGTAGACAATGTGAAAATTGTGATGATCGGGCAGACTACTCTCGACCTCTCTGCCACATGAGGTAGGTCAGTGTATAGATTACTGATGTTCTAATGATAAGAATTCACCAGACCTCTTAAAGTCTAATTCTAGCCTAAGGATCACAGGGAACAATGTATGGTGTATTTTACATGCATTAATGGCCACTGGTTCACGAAGACATAATACTTTGTTACACAGTTTAGTTCCTGAGGAAGCCTATGGTATTTTCTGAGTGCTTAGACCTCCAAAGTGTAGAAAATGGTTACAATTCCCCTCAAACATTGCTTGGACTTTTTCGTCAGACAAATTAATGACGTCTTGAAGATACCTGAAGGCTGGCGACTCCTTACCTGGCGCTCTGCCCCGAGCACAACGTGTTCCGTACTGGTGACATTATTAACAGGCAGTTTATGTAACAAGCACTCAACCACTGTACCGTGTTTTTATGTACACTTTTAAATTGAAAATTTAGCTGTCTTTGGGGCCAGATTCACGAAGCAGTTACGCAAGCACTTACGAACCTGTACATCTTTTCCCAATATTGGGTGGCTGTGTTTACAATTATGAAAGTTAATGAGCTCCGAAGCACCAGGAGGCTGTTTATAACAACAGTTGATTGGCAAGTTTTCATGTTTTTAAACTGTTTAATAAATGTAACCAAAACCGTCAAAGATTGAGGAAAGATGTACACGTTCGTGAGTACTTGCGTAGCTGCTTCGTGAATCTGGCGCCTGAGCAGGAAAAGGTTTAAGTAATTATGTGGGGAGAAGTAGCCATTTTGTGCAGCTTGGAGCCCTCAGGTGAAGGAGGGTAGCCCACTGCCCCAGGGAGGTGGTGGGCGACTGGACACTTTAGTCTATCACATCTGTTAGTCAGAAATGTTGAGAACTATGGAATGAGTTCCATAGTTCCCTCGGGGTCACCCCCCCCCCTCCCTCGGGGTCACCGACCCCCCCCCCTCTCCCTCGGGGGTCACAGCTCCTCTTACAAAGCTTCGTCGCGAGTCTCTCAGATGAACAGCCAATAGTAGGTCACGCCCATCAGGGCGGCACAACAGGAGCCACGCCCATCAGGGCGCCACAACAGGAGCCACGCCCATCAAGTTGCCACAACAGGAGCCACGCCCATCAGGGCGCCACAACAGGAGCCACGCCCATCAGGGCTACACAACAGGAGCCACGCCCATCAGGACGGCACAACAGGAGCCACGCCCATCAGGGCGCCACAACAGGAGCCACGCTCATCAGGGCTACACAACAGGAGCCACGCCCATCAGGGCTACACAACAGGAGCCACGCCCATCAGAACGGCACAACAGGAGCCACGCCCATCAGGACGGCACAACAGGAGCCACGCCCATTCAGTGAAAGAAACGTGCCCAACCATTTCTGGCCCACCTGAGACTCAAACCTGGGTTCCGCGATTATGAGTAGAGAACGAAGCCACTGTGCAACAGGATCCTTACATACCTAAGTGTATTTACTGGCGATCACGACCCTCTGATGATCTTCCCTTAGGGTAAGGTAAGGGGGGTTGTCCTTCCTTCAGGGTAAGGTAAGGGGGGGTTGTCCTGCCCTCAGGGTAAGGTAAGGGGGGGTTGTCCTGCCCTCAGGGTAAGGTAAGGGGGTTGTCCTTCCCTCAGGGTAAGGTAAGGGGGCAGTACCTCCCTCAGGGTAAGGTAAGGGGGCAGTACCCCCCGCCAGTACACAGGGGTGTACACAATATGACTGGGGGGACAGTGGACGCCTGAACCTTTCCTCACTAGAGTTTAAAACTATTTTGAAGTCATTGGCGGCAGCCTCAAAAGTCCTGTGCCTCCGTGACATTACAGTAGGCCTATAACTGTGACTTGGAGGCCTGAAGCCTAAGTTGGAAGAGGCGTGAGGTTGACTACTGACAAGTGTAAGTTGTGAGATAACTTAAGTGAACACTGGCTGCCAAAGTTGGCCAAACAACTTTCTCTTTCACACAAGTTCGAACACTTATTATTTTAAGCGCCAGACACTAGCGATGTTAAATGGAATGAACGGTGCATTATGCTACACCTGGCTTATGTTCACGCAACGCTTCCACACTCAGCCGCGCTCCTCCATATTGTTTGTTTATACCTTTTGTGCTCGCTCCCTGCCTGTGATTATCTATGATAACAGTGCCACCATGAACTGTGCTTTGTTGACATGTTGGGCCCCTGTGCTTGCCAGACCATTGGGCCGCCAGGGACACCACAGGGGACTGTGATTGGCAGACTAATGGGCCGCCAGGGACACCACAGGGACCACACACTGTCAGCAACAGTCTGGTGCGTCCCAGCAGAAGGTCTCTGACTCAACAAAGACAACCAAAACAAGCTACAAACACAGCACATGGACAGCCTTAGTCTCTCTTGGAGACCTTGGTCTTCTTCAGTGTGGGCGGCTAGTTTGTGGGCGTAGTTCCCGCCAGCGGTGTGGGCGGCTACCTCGTGAGCGTTGTTCCCGCCAGCGGTGTGGGCGGCTACCTGGTGGGCGTAGTTCCCGCCAGCGGTGTGGGCGGCTACCTGGTGGGCGCTGTTGCCGCCAGCAGTGTGGGCGGCTACCTGGTGGGCGCTCTTGCCGCCAGCGGGAGGGGGGCGAGGGGGGGCGTGCCCTGCCGTCCGCACCGCAGACCTCCCGATGATTGTCGCCAGGGTATGGGTGGGGGCGGGGGCGGGCGGGGGCACAGCGCCCTCGCCTGAAGGACCTCCACGCCCCAGGCTCAGCGCTCACCTCTCTCCATCACAGCCCGAGGAGCGAGAAGAGTAACAGTGCGGCCCGCCGCTGGGCCACCTGGCGGTTTCCTGCTGAGAGCGGTCCATAGGGGAGGGCAATTGTGCGTTTTCCTGCTGGTAGAGCGATCCAAGGAGGGACAAGAAGGCTGTTGCCTGCTGGTCTAAGAGCGGGCAGCGGGGGCCCCTCGGTGGTTGCCTGCTGGTCTAGGGGAGCGGGCCGCGGGGGCCACCGGGCCACGCCACCTGGGTTCTCTTAGTCCTGATGTAGGGAGAGGCCGCCTGTGATGGCTGGCGTTGTTCCTGCGGCCCACATGGTCACATGGAGTACATATCCTGTCCTCCAGAACCTTCCTGCGACTGTTGTGGAGCTTGCTGCTGTTGTTGCTGCTGCTGCTGCTGCAGCTGCCGCCGTAAGGAGTCAATCTCACTCTCAGACTTCTCCAGCTGCTTCTTCATGTTGTCCATGGCGTGCCTCATGGAGACGTTCTCAGACTTGTACATGCTGTTCTGCTGACTGAGGCGGCTGGCCTCTGCTTGGATCCTCTGGTTCTCGCTCTGCATGTTTCTGTTGATCTGCTCCAGCTCCGTCTTGTAGTTCTGCCGCTTGGTCCGGCAGCTCTGGGCGTAGCCGCGGTTCTTCAGCGTCCGCCGCTTCTGTTTGAACTTTGTCTGGAGGTCCTTGGGCATGTTGTGGAGGCGGCGGTTGAGCTCCCTGACGGAGAGCGTCACCAGCTCGTCGTCAGAGATGTAGACGGAGCCGGCGTGGTGCGGCATAGTCTGCAGGCCCATCTGGCACGCTGCCTGCTGCTCCATGCTGCTCTTGGGGGTCGGTCCCAGACCGTTCAGGGCGTGCCGCTGCTGGGTCATGCTGCCGTCCCACTTGCGGTCCAGCATCCACGACTGCGGCTCCAGTTGCTCCCCGCCGCACTGCGGCCCGGGCCGCAGGTCCAGAGGCTCGTGCATGTAGCGGTTGTAGGACCACATCTCCTCCATGAGGGTATGTTGGGGGACGCCCTGGAAGTGTGGGGAGGGGGGGAGGGAGCCGTTAGTGGGGGAGGAGCCAGGGGGGGTGTCAGGAGGGGTGCCAGGCACCTGCGACTGTTGCTTGCCCTGCGGCGTGGGCACCCCGGTGATGCCTGCGGCGGGGTGGTGGTGGTGGTGGTGGTGATGGTGGTTCATCCAGGCGTTGCTCACCGCCTGCATGTTGGGTATGTGGGGAGTCATCATGTGGGTGTGGACGCGCCCCATGCCCCCCATGGCATGCAGGTCCTTGTGCTCCTTGACCCCCATGACCTCGTCCAGGGGCTCCAACATGAAGTCCGCCACATACTCGCTGGCCAGAGACTCGTCCGTCATGTTGAGTGATGGGGCATCACCAGGCAGTGCCACCAGGAGGCTCTTGTCTTGTGGCACCCCGCTCTGGTGCCGCCACCCGGACCCTCCCCCGGACACCACCGGTGCCACTCCTCCAGGCAACGCTCCTACAACCTCCGTTGTTGCCAACGTTTTGGCCAACTCCGTTATCGGCACCGTTTTCGCGAGCTCTGTTATCGGCACTGTTTTAGCGAACTCTGTTATCGGCACTGTTTTCGCGAACTCTGTTATCGGCACTGTTTTCGCGAACTCTGTTATCGGCACCGTTTTCGCGAACTCTGTTATCGGCACCGTTTTCGCGAACTCTGTTATCGGCACTGTCTTCGCGAACTCTGTTATCGGCACTGTTTTTGCGAACTGTTATCGGCACTGTTTTCGCGAACTCTGTTATCGGCACTGTTTTCGCGAACTCTGTTATCGGCACCGTTTTTGCGAACTCTGTTATCGGCACTGTTTTCGCGAACTCTGTTATCGGCACTGTTTTTGCGAACTCTGTTATCGGCACCGTTGAAGTGCCACAGTTCTCACCGTCAGTGTTTTGCTTTCACTGCCTTCGGCACTGTCACTGGCGCGGCCTCTGTGCCAGGCACTGTCATTGGCACTCGTCCCTGGACAGACGGCACTATGAATCACCTGTCAACACACAAACAGTAACTGTCCTCACTAGAGCACTCATGCCACCGGGAATCGAACTGGCGACCTCCGGGTAAGTCGTTGAGGTCAAGCCAGTGAGGGGGGGGGGGCGGAGAGGGCGCGACACTGGCACGCACGTGGCGGCTGCTGCAGCTAGCTGGCGGGGCGTGCACGGTAAGGGGGGCGTGCACGGTAAGGAGGGCGTGCACGGTAGGGCACCGTGGCGTGCGGCTCCTCTCTTCGTTCGTGGGGGGCTGTAGGCGCGGGTGTGTCGAGGTGACACTATGGTCAGCGTCGGTCGAGTAGTGGTGGTGACACTGGTGCCAGGCCGACCGCGCCCCGCCCTGCGCACCACCCCGCCTGGCCCCGCCCCATGACGTCACCACGTGACCTTCAATCACCCCGGGGGTTGTACTTCCTCCCACCAATCACAGCCACGCGCACCGGCGCCATGTTCCGCCCATCACTGACCGGTTCACCGCCGCTTAATTAAACGGAAAACACAAGAACGAACAATGTACACAAAGCAAGAAGGATAATAAAAATAGGACACAGGGTGAGTGTAGGAAGCGTGGTGGGGGGGCGGGGCTAGAGGCGCGGGAACCCCAGGATTGGTCGGGAGGCGTGGCGTGGGCGGGGCCAGGCGCGGGTCGAGGACGCAGCTCTAACCCTTGCTGGCCGGGGCGCGTCTGCCCCCGCCCACGCCCACCGCGCCCCGGCCAATCATCCCGAGTGCGCGCCCTCCAGCAATGGGGGACGCCGCCCCCTCCCCGCCACGGACCCGCCTTTACACTCTATAATGTATTGATAACCTTATATATATATATATATATAATGTACACTGCAACCCCTAAATCCTGCCAGAGTCATTAGCTGAGTTTAATACAGCAGAGTAACCGCAGCCCCCCCCCCCACTGCCTGCCTACACCCCCCTTTCAGGCAGTGAATGGGGGGGGGGGGTATGCTGTGTGGGGTGCAGGTAGGCTGTGTGGGGTGCAGGTAGGCTGTGTGGGGTGCAGGTAGGCTGTGTGGGGTGCAGGTAGGTTGTGTGGGGTGCAGGTAGGCTGTGTGGGGTGCAGGTAGGCTGTGAGGGGTGCAGGTAGGCTGTGAGGGGTGCAGATAGGCTGTGAGGGGTGCAGGTAGGCTGTGAGGGGTGCAGGTAGGCTGTGTGGGGTGCATGCAGGCTGTGTGGGGTGCAGGCAGGCTGTGTGGGGTGCAGGTAGGCTGTGTGGGGTGCATGCAGGCTGTGTGGGGTGCAGGCAGGCTGTGTGGGGTGCAGGTAGGCTGTGTGGGGTGCAGGCAGACTGTGTGGGGTGCAGGTAGGCTGTGTGGGGTGCAGGTAGGCTGTGTGGGGTGCAGGCAGGCTGTGTGGGGTGCAGGCAGGCTGTGTGGGGTGCAGGTAGGCTGTGAGGGGTGCAGGTAGGCTGTGTGGGGTGCAGGTAGGCTGTGTGGGGTGCAGGTAGGCTGCGAGGGGTGCAGGTAGGCTGTGTGGGGTGCAGGTAGGCTGTGTGGGGTGCAGGTAGGCTGTGTGGGGTGCAGGTAGGCTGTGAGGGGTGCAGGTAGGCTGTGTGGGGTGCAGGTAGGCTGTGTGGGGTGCAGGTAGGCTGTGAGGGGTGCAGGTAGGCTGTGAGAGATGCAGGTAGGCTGTGAGGGGTGCAGGCAGGCTGTGTGGGGTGCAGGCAGGCTGTGTGGGGTGCAGGCAGGCTGTGTGGGGTGCAGGCAGGCTGTGTGGGGTGCAGGCAGGCTGTGTGGGGTGCAGGTAGGCTGTGTGGGGTGCAGGCAGGCTGTGTGGGGTGCAGGCAGGCTGTGTGGGGTGCAGGTAGGCTGTGAGGGGTGCAGGTAGGCTGTGAGGGGTGCAGGTAGGCTGTGTGGGGTGCAGGTAGGCTGTGAGGGGTGCAGGCAGGCTGTGTGGGGTGCAGGCAGGCTGTGTGGGGTGCAGGCAGGCTGTGTGGGGTGCAGGCAGGCTGTGTAGGGTGCAGGCAGGCTGTGTGGGGTGCAGGTAGGCTGTGTGGGGTGTGGGCAGGCTGTGTGGGGTGCAGGCAGGCTGTGTGGGGTGCAGGTAGGCTGTGTGGGGTGTAGGCAGGCTGTGTGGGGTGTAGGTAGGTGAAAACTGAGTACCCAAATGAGTCACAGGAACGTTAGGGAGAACTTTTTCAGTGTCAGAGAAGTTAACAGGTGGAATGCATTAGGCAGTGATGTGACTCCATACACAGTTTCAAATGTAGATATGACAGAGCCCAGTAGGCTCAGGAATCTGTACATCAGTTGATTGACTGTTAAGAGGCGGATCCAAAGAGCCAGAGCTCAACCCCCGCAAGCACAAATAAGCGAGTACAAATAGGCCAGTACACACACACTGCCTGCACCTCCCCCCCCCCCCCAACACACACACACATGCACACACTAAAACCTTTGATACAGTACCACACTGAAGACTGTTATACAAAGGCAGGCGGGAGTAGACGGAAATCCACTATCATGGGTAAGGAATTCCCTGAGAGACAGGTGTCAGAGTGAGAGTGAGGGGCGAGGAGTGGGACTGGCGGAGAGTAACAAGCGGGGTGCCTCAAGGATCACTCCTGGGATTAATTCTATTCCTCATTTATGTAAATAAGTTGACTGCAGGAATGGCGTCTTTTATGTCGATGTTTGCAGATGATGCAAAGCTAATCAGGATTGCAAGAGTCTCCAGGAGGACTTGAACAGGCTGCAGAGCTGGTTCGAGAAATGGTTGCTAGAGTTCAACACTAACAAGTGCAAGGTGGTGGAAATGGGAACAGGAGCCAGGAGATCGAAAGGCCAATATACGATGGAGGGGAAACTACCTGCCTATAACGACTAAAGAAAAAGACCTGTGAGTGAACATAACACCAAGCCTAACTCCAGAGGCTCATATAACCAGAATAACGTCAGCCGCATACTCTACGCTGGCAAAGGTCAGAACATTCTTCAGAAACGTGAAACAGGAGGCTTTTAGATCACTGTATACCACCTGTGTGAGGCCAGTCTTAGAGTATGCCGCACCATCGTGGACCCCCATCTTAAAAAACTCACAAAGAAGCTCGAAAAGGTTCAGAAGTTTGCAACGAGACTCGTCCCAGTGCTGCGAGGGATGAGGTACGAAGACAGACTGAAGGAACTAAACCTGACGACGTAAGAAGGGTTAAGGGTGAGGGTGGACATGATACGGACGTATAAAATACTTAGAGGGATAAACAAGGAGGCAAAAGAGGAAAAGTTTACATTGAATAACAATAGAACAAGGCGGCACGGATGGAAGCTTGAGACTCAGATATGTCATTGAGATGTTAAAAAGTTTTCCTTTAGTGTGAGGGAAGTGAGTAACTGGAATGACCTAATGGAGCGGGTTGTAGAGGCTAACTCCAGTCATATGACAGCAGGTATGATAGGGTAATAGGCCAGGAGTCATTGTATTAGACAATCAACGGTTAGAACCACGACAACCAACGGTCCAAGAGCTAGAACTCGAGCCTGCATCCACAAACAGACGAGAACAAACAGGTGAGTACACACATATGGGGGGAGGGGGGCCTCAGGACTGAATGGACAGCGCTCTGGGGTCGCGGTATTCGATCCACGGTAGAGGCAGAAACAAATGGGCAGAGTTTCTTTCACCCTGGTGATCTATTCACCTGGCAGTAAATAGGTACCTGGGAGTTAGCTGCTACTGACTGCTTCCTGGGTGTGTTTGTGTATGTGTGTGTGTGTGTGTCTGTGTGTGTCTGTGTGTGTCTGTGTGTGTCTGTGTGTGTCTGTGTGTCTGTGTGTGTGTGTACTCACCTATTTGTGCTTGCAGGATCGAGCATTGACTCTTGGATCCCGCCTTTCCAGCCATCGGTTGTTTACAGCAATGACTCCTGTCCCATTTCCCTATCATAGCTAATTTTAAAAGTATGAATAGAGTTTGCTTCCACAGCCTGTTCCCCAAGTGCATTCCATTTTTCCACTACTCTCACGCTAAAAGAAAACTTCTTAATATCTCTGTGACTCATCTGAGTTTCCAGTTTCCTCCCATGTCCCCTCGTTCTGTTACTATTACGTGTGAACATTTCATCTATTTCCACTTTGTCAATTCCCCTGAGTATTTTATATGTCCCTATCATATCTCCTCTCTCCCTTCTTTTCTCTAGTGTCGTAAGGTTCAGTTCCTTCAGACGCTCTTCATATCCCATCCCTCGTAACTCTGGGACAAGCCTCGTCGCAAACCTCTGAACCTTCTCCAGTTTCCTTATGTGTTTCTTCAGGTGGGGGCTCCATGATGGCGCGGCATACTCTAAGACTGGTCTCACGTAGGCAGTGTAAAGCGCCCTAAAAGCCTCCTCACTCAGGTTTCTGAATGAAGTTCTAATTTTCGCCAGTGTAGAGTACGCTGCTGTCGTTATCCTATTTATATGTGCCTCAGGAGTTAGATTAGGTGTTGCGTCCACTCCCAGGTCTCTTTCTCGAATCGTTACAGGTAGGCAGTTCCCCTTCATTGTGTACTGTCCCTTTGGTCGCCTATCACCTGATCCCATTTCCATAACTTTACATTTACTGGTGTTGAACTCCAGTAGCCATTTCCCTGACCATCTCTGCAACCTGGCCAGGTCCTCTTGGAGGATCCTACAATCCTCATCTGTCACAACTCTTCTCATTAATTTTACGTCAACCGCGAACATTGACATGTAGGATTCCACTCCTGTAGACGTATCATTTACGTAAATTAGAAAGAGGATTGGTCCCAGCACCGATCCTTGAGGTACTCCACTTGTTACTGTTCGCCAGTCCGACTTCTCGCCCCTTACCATTACCCTCTGGCTCCTTCCTGTTAGGTAGTTCCTTACCCACGCTAGGGCCTTTCCGCTTACTCTTGCCTGTCTCTCAAGTTTGTATAGCAGTCTTATGTGCGGTACCGTATCAAAGGCCTGTGTGTGTGTGTGTGTGTGTGTGTGTGTGTGTGTGTGTGTGTGTGTGTGTGTGTGTGTGTGTGTGTGTGTGTGTGTGTGTGTGTTTGTGTGTATGTGTGTGTGTGTGTGTCTTAGAGACAAATATGTAGTAGACATAATTGAAGAAAAATAAATTGGTTAGAAAGGCGTGGTCCAAGAGCTAATAGCTCGATTTTGCAGATTCAAATAGTAAATACACACACACATTGCCTGCACCCCCCTCCCCCCCCCCCACAATACACTCTCGCTTCATGCAGGTCGACGTTCAATCCCCGCCCCATCCCAAATCCTTATCCTGATCCCTTCCAAGTGCTATATAGTCGTAATGGCTTGGCGCTTTCTCCTGATCATCCCTCCTCCCCCCCCCCACACACAGGCTGGTAGCAGAGGACGGGTGAG